TCTCTGCAATCACTATCACCAACATGCTCATTGGCGTCATTTGTGAGGCAGGCCAACAAGAGTTATATAGTCTGTTTCATGCTTGGTCAGGATCACGTTTAAGCACTTTGAGAGGCTTGAACCTCATACAGACGGTCACCCATGTTTAGTCTCTGAAGCTTCCCGCCCCTAGCTTCATGATTTTTTTCATCTCCCCATGTTTTGGACATTAATTGAACACGTGAATCAGGTGCTGTAGGCGTCAGAGAAGTCGTTCATTTCTTCCATCAAAACGAGAAGACTGCTTTACTCTCTTGGAGGACTGTTGTGACCGCATCAAGGACTAAAGGTGCACATCAAGTAGGTCTGTAGGGTTGCAGGCCGTTGCTATTAGGCAGGAAGCCAATGCTTCTAGGTAGGGGGGCAGAGCGGCCTTAAAACATGTCCTTTCCGTTCTTTTCTCGCCCTCTTCCTTGGATGTGTGTCCTTCACTTCGGCGGAGCCTTTGAAAGAACGAAGGGGTGTGAGAGAACACCGAGGGTGTGGATTTTCTGTCTTTTCACCGCAGGTGATCACTGCCGTAGCAGCTGCAGAAAAGGAGGCGATTCAGATCACATGGGTGAAAGAGACGCTCAAGCGAATGATGGGCGGAGACTTGGTGAAAAAGATCGTCTCCCGGAGTCCAGTAGACACGGGTCGTTCGGGGGAGCCAAAATCAAGGCAGACGAACCTCAAGCATGACTAGTAGCGTCCTTTGCTCCTAGTAGCGGTGCCAGATCAAGCCAGTCCACAAGCATGTTCAAGATAGATGCGATAGCTTAGGAACGGATGCAAATGAAGATGGCAAGCTGCAGAAATATGAGTTTTTTCAAATTGCCAAAGACCGGGACGCCGTCCGAGCTTTGAAGGCGAAGCGAAGAGACGACGCGAATCGAGCAGCCGCGACGTGCCGTTTTTGAGGATAAAAAAGGCAAAACACACAATTGAAACACCCATACACGTGTTTTATCTGGTATTCATTTTTTCTTTCAAAATCGCACCAACCTATATACCTCACTCAAGACTTGAGAAAGTGCACGAAGTGCGCCGCACTAGTAGTTCTATTGGTGGAGGCAGCGTTGAACACCAAAAGACTCGAAGCACGTGTTGACGAGAATGACTCTGCTGTAAGGCCTTGGGCGTTGATGTTCTCACCTTGACGCCTGACCTGCACAAGTGAGCTGTGAGTTGTCAGAATTGTGACCCCTGTGGACAGAGTATTTTTTCTTAACGGGGACGTGTATTTGACCGCGGCAAAGCCAACCAGGATTGAATTTGCCGACATCATTTTTGAGAACATTGAGGAGAGATTCTTTTTGATTCTTTTCACGGCGAGACCATCCCTAGTAGGTTGGAGGTCATCGCTAATAGGTTGGAGGCCATCGCTTTCGAAGCTTTTGAAGCTTGTGCTGCACAAATAATGTGCCAAACATTTTTGAAAAAAACTCATTGAAAATAGATTCTTCGAACCGATTCTTTGACACGAACCATTCTTCAAGGAAACTTCTTGCTGAAGTTTCCTCAAATTTTTATGCGTTCTTTCTGCGTTGCCAGCTTCAAGTAACACAAAGGTCCAAACCTAGAGCTAGAGTAGCTACCTAGAGCTAGTCCCAAAGCTATACCTAGCCGTTTTGCCTCGAAAAATGAATCTTGGCTTCTCTTCTTTCTTTAGGTCTTTCTTCCTTTTGCCTCTGTTTCTTTCTTTTTGCTTTCGCTTCTTTTTGGTCTCTCTGAAGCTGGTCTGGTCCTCTTTGCTTTGCTTGCAGGGCGGGGCCGATGATGGCCAGGCTGAGCTTTCGTTTTCAGACTTTATGGAGGCACGCGAAGCGCCATGTAGGGTTTTAGACGGAGGAAGCAATTGTTTTGCCTCTAAAGCAAAAAGCATGAACAAACATCAAGTCACTATGATCACTATGACTTCTTTCTTCACTTGTTTTGTTTCTGGTTTCTCTTAAGACCTTTAGACCCTTCTTTCCTTCCTTCCTTGCTTTATTGCAAGTTTGGGCGTTGTCAGTATGGAGTCTTACTCAGATTTCCAGGTGATCCTACAATTCCGTGGGACAAATACAGCAACCGTGAAAGACATGGTGGACCTACGGAAATGGTTTGTTCTCCAGAGACTTTGTCTATATCGGATTATTCTTTATGAGACTTTGTCTTGTTCTTTGATTTGTTCCTTAAATTGTTTTTGAAGACAATTGCTGTGAACTGAGTTGAGACAACCCAGGTATCGACAGATGTTGAGAAGTGACCTTGAGGAAATCTTGGTGGGAAAGGCGGTCCAATGGACAGCTCGTCCGTGTTTCTGCGGAGATAGGGCAAAGGGATGGCCTCCAACCCAAGAGCGCTGGCCTCCAACCGAAGCCCCAAATCCGGTTTCTTTCCTCTCTTGACCTTGATTTTGTATTGTGTTTCCTATGTAATCGGTGTTCAACGGCTTTCGATTGTTTCCGTTCGGCGCCTGGTCCAGTCAACCAACGCGAGCAAAGTCCTATTGCAAGTCGACAGCATCGACTGTATTAAGGGTTCCCAAACAATCTAGAAACCAATAAACTTTACTCCAATTTAATAGCGATGGCCACCAACCTAGAAGCATGGGCCTCCAACCTACTAGCGATGTCCGATGTGTATTGTGCGTGTTGTGTACAGTGATGCAAACTTGTGGAGGTTTCCAATCGGCAAGGCGCATCGTGACTTGGAGCAACTTAATCGTTCGTTTGACCCATTTTGAACCCCCAAAACCCACATGTAGACAACTTGGCGGGATTCCCAAACTGTCGCAGTTGGGGCTGGGGCCTGGCTTTGATACAAGTTTTTGCGAGTTGCACGATGTGGGCTTCAGACGTTCCAGTGGTCAAGTTCATTTGTTGGTGTTTTGCACGCAGGACTCAGGACATATACTAGTGAGCCTCAGCTACATAAGCTGATATAGGATGATACAGGTGTGCTGTAGGCGCTATGGCCACAATGGATGGGGAGGTGGTTGAGGTGGATACCGCCTTGAGTGAACAAAGGCAAAGGAAGAACGACTGTTAAAGAGTAGGCCAAGGGAGCTTCTGTCCCAGGTGCCCCAATGCGTCCTGGCTACTATGAAGCTATTGGCTATTTTCTACTATTACCTTCCCTCAACAATGCAGGCTGCCCGACCCATTTGCTGTTTCTAATTTAGGCCTAGCAGATGAGTTGGCGGCTAGAGCTCCGTGAGGCAGCTAGTAGCTTTTTGTTGCCAGGAGCCCCTAGTAGCGTCCTTGTTCCTAGTAAGGCCAGGAGCCCCTAGTAGCGTCCTTGTTACTACTAGTAAGGCACTTGTTACTAGAAG